AGAAAATATTACTATTAAAGCACTGCACATATCTTTTGATGTATGCTATTGTCCTAAAATTAATTTTGCATTTTCTTTTTTTTCATGATAAAAAATTAACCGTTGAAAAATTGCTTCATCACAAGTTACATTTAAATAATTATTATTAGTAATTTCTAAATCATCAAAATACATATTACATGCATTATGAACATTGATATCACAGTTTGGATTATCCCTGACTCAAGAATTACTATATTTGATGATAGAAATACACATCCTAATTGTATTTCTTTTACAATTTCATCATATAAATCTTTATTATCCCAATTATCTTCATTTATTTGTAAAAATTTGTTAAAAATTTTCTCATAATATTCTAGTAAATTATCTGTAAAATTAGATTTTCCAAATAAAATAAAATCATCATCATTATCGTTATTACTATTATTATTATTGTTATTATTATTATCATTATTAATAATGTCTTTTAATGGTTTAAGTAAAAGAAATTGAAATACCATACATAATGTAACATGAGAAGAATTACATGTTGAATCAAAAATATTACTATATGCAAATGTTCTTTTCTTGTAATCTATATTATCAATAATTGATATATTCCAAATATTTTCTTCTTTAAGTAACCTTTCCTTTGGCTTTGCTTCATTTATTCTAATTTTTTCTAATCGTTTTTCATGAAATTGTGTATGTGATACAACATTTGCTGTATTAAGTATAACATATAAAGATGTTAATAATTTTGGCTTTCTACAAAGAGAACTTAAAATATGTGTAAGCCAAATATTAATGCCGGGAAATGCAATTGTTAATAATATTGAAATAAAAAATGTTGATTTCTTTTTTGCATTACTTATATTGAAAGATTTTATTTCAAGATTTCTTTGTTTTCTTTTTTTATTTACTACTTCATATTTTTTTTCTTTTAAAGTAACAATCAATTCATCAAAAAATTTCATTAAAAAAAATGGAAAACTATTCCAAAAATTTTCTAATGAATTTGGATTTTCAAGTCCCTGCTTTTTGTTACGTACTTCATTTTTTGATTTCCATATTGTAATTCCCAAAGGTTCTCCAGTTAATTTTGATGTTTCTGATGTAAAATCTGTAAATTATAACTTTTTTTCATAATTACTGTAATATTAACTTTTTCAAGACGAAAAGCTATTTTTATAAATAATAAGCTTGAAGGATTTTATATTTGTGATAAAAGAAAATTTTGTATTTGTGATGAAGAAGGTTGTTGTATTTGTGATAAAGAAGAAGATTGTGTTTGTGATGAAGAAGTATGTTGTATTTGTGATAATGATTGGTTAAATATAGATAATATAGAACTTAATTTTATTAATAATTCTTCTTTTTTATTATCTTCTTTTGATACTGCTTCATTTAAAATCCATCTTCCAAATAGTTCAAGTGCTTTTGTTGTATTATCTTTATATTTATTATTATATGAAAATGATTTTTTTCCATTATCTTGACATTCAAAAAAATGATTACCTTGTAAATTGAAGCATTGTGAACAAATATAATAAGATCTATATTCATTGTTTGATTTATCTATAATACTATTTGGTATATTATAAATATCAAAAAATAGGACAAGATTTAAGTCCAATGCATGGTATTTGCACATTTCTACCAATTACACACACTGAATGTTTTATACAAATATTTCTACGACTAAAAAAATACTTATATTTATTACAAAATAAACAGCAATGATGATAGATCCAACTTTTTTCAATTGATCATTGTTGTTTTAATTTTGTGTATGAAGTGTGTTTTGATCAAAATTAAAATGAGTTATGCAAACTCCTACTAGTCAAAATCATTTCTTTTGGCAATAATACCTTTCGGTAAATATTCAGCCGATTCGGTCATGTGATTTGGCAAAAATTCAGCTTAAGTTACAAAAATCGATAGTAATTTGTTACATTACACATAATTTAGCATTATTTCATCATTAAGACCTTTCGATTATAATATTCAGCAAAATTTCAGTTAGACTTAAGATTTGGCAACAAATCGACTATATCTCACTGGTCGAAATCTGTTGAGCTGATTGTTGCAAAAATTATAAAAACATTCTGAGAGTAATCATTCCAAAGAGATGATATATTCATTTCAAAAGAGATGATAGAAATCGTCTCAAAAGGAACGATACATTCGTCCCCAAAAGAGACGATAGAAATCATCTCAAAAGGAACAATACATTCGTTCCCAAAAGAGACGATAGAAATCGTCCCTAAAGAAACGATACATCATTGTTCTAAAAAGAACGATGTTTTTTATTGTTCTATTGGAACGATACATCATCGTTCTAAAAGAACAATGTTTTTTTTATCGTTCTTTTGGAATGATACATCATCGTTCTGAAAGAACGATGTTTTTTTTATCGTTCTTTCAGAACGATACTTCATCATTCCAAAAGAACGATGATTTTTTTATTGTTCTTTCAGAATGATACTTCATCGTTCTATTGGAACGATTCATTATCATTCCGAAAGAACGATTTTTTCATCGTTTTATTAGAACGATACATCATTGTTCTATTGGAACGATTCATCATTGTTTCTTTAGAATGATAATTTTTTTATCGTTCTATTAGAACGATACATCATTGTTCTGAAAGAACAATAATTTTTTTTATCGTTCTTAAGGAATGATCAAACTATCGTTCCAATAGAATGATTTTTTATATCATTCTTAAGGAACAATCGAATTATCGTTCATTTTAAATGATTTTCTATATCATTCTTAAGAAATGATCGAATATCGTTCCTTTTGAATGATTTTCTATATCGTTCTTAAGGAACAATCAAACTATCGTTCCTTTCGAACGATTTTCTATATCATTCTTAAGAAACGATCAAATATCATTCCTTTCGAACGATTTTATCATCGTTCGGTTGATTTTGCATCATCCAATTGCAAAATCAACCATTTGTAACATTTATGATAAATAGTTTAAATTTTAGATTAACTGAAATTTTAGTTTAGTTTACAGTATAAAACTGATAAACGTTCGGAATATTCTGAAAAAATTTATTTCTTCCTTTTTTTTTTTGAAGCGATTTTTGGCCAAAAATTTAACCTTTTCCTTTCTTTTTTCTTGTTTTTTTAGGAAATTCTTATTTTGGAATTAAGGTAAGCAAATCGGAAGTGACCTTTGTAGCATTTCCTTTCTTTGTTCTTGTTTTTAGGAAATTCTTATTTTAGGAATTAAGGTAAGCAAATCAGAAGTAACTTTTAGATAGTTTTTAACTCTTTTTTCTTTATTTTTCTTTGTTTTTTTAGGAAATATCTCTTTTCGAAACTAAGGTAATCCTTTTTGAGATGACTTTTGGATGATTTTTAACCCTTTTTTCTTTATTTTTTCTTTATATTTTTTAGGAATACATTAAAATAAACCTTTCGGAAGTGGTTTTTAGTGAGTTTTCTAACTGTTTTTTTTATATTTTCTTTACTTTTTTTTAGGAATACATTAAGGTAAGCCTTTCGGAGGTGATATTTTGGTAGTTTTCTAACTGTTTTCTTTATTTTTTCTTACTTTTTTTTTAGGAATACATTAAGGTAAGCCTTTCAGAGGTGATATTTTGATGTTTTCTAACTGTTTTCTTTATTTTTCTTTACTTTCTTTAGGAATACATTAAGGTTCGCCTTTCAGAAGTGGTTTTTAGTGGGTTTTCTAACTGTTTTCATTATTTTTTCTTATCTTTAAAAAATCAAATGTATCTTTTTTGAATAAAATATAATACAATATATATTATTTTTGAGTAATTTATTATGTAATAATAAAATAAATTATAAATCATAAATAAAGAAAAAATAAGTTTATTAATTTCAAATTTTTTGCTGATTATTGACTGATTTTAAGCTGATTTATGCCAAATTTTGATCAATTTTTAACATAAATACTGATTGATAACTGATTTTCTATTTATTTAAAGTGCTGATTTTTTGGTAATGATCGGCAGAATTAGACTATATTTTGGCCAACATTCAGCACTTAAGTGTAACGAATTATATTATTTTACCTAGTGATATATCAAATAACTACCAAATCATTAATGTTAAATGTTTTTTTGTATAGCATGAAAATGGGCAACTTCGGCTATAACTAAAAATGCTGATTATTTTGGCAATAATCGGCAGAAATTAGACTATATTTCGGCCAATATTTGGCACTTTAAAAAAGTGACGAAATGGATTATTTCAACTAGTGTAATAATGTATTTTTTTTAATAATTACATATTTAAATAAAATTTCTTTATATTTTGAAATATTGGATGGCTTTAAACTGTTTATATCATATTAGGTTTCAATTAAAGAGAGAATTGTAATTCATACATTGCAAGTTTTAATGTTACAACATATGTTACAATTAGTTTAATTTATATATATTGTAACTTATACTATTATAATATATATTTAACTAATTTTAGCTTTTAATTATTACATCATCTTTAGTTGCAATAAAATTTGACTTTTAATAAATAAACTTAATCAAATTATATTAATTATATTTATCTTTATAAGTAAGGTTAATAAAGAACTTTGTATTTTTTTTTATTAATTTATATCAAAATAAAATCAAAAATAAAGATTGAATAAATTAATATTAAAATTTATTAATTTAAATAAAATTAATTCAAAATTATAATTATAAAAATGATAATTAAATTATTTTAGATCAATAAAAAAACTGATAAAAAATAATATCATTATAATTATTATAATAAATAATATTTTTAAAAGCAGAAAAAAATAATAATAATTTTGAAATTTAATTTAATTAAAAATAAAAATAAAGATTAGTTAAAAAAGTATATAAGATATATTTTTTTTTAAAAAAAAACAAAAAAGAGATTTTATATTATTTGTAAAATATAATTTCAACTTATAAATAATTTTAAATGATTAATTTAATTTATTACTCTTATTGTAATTAAATATAAAACAATAGAACTGAAAATAGAAATAAAAAAATATTTCTTTAATAATCAGAATATAATTGTTTAGCATCTTCATCAGTATATCCTAATAAATATAAAACATATTTTAAACTCTTTTGATTGATTCTTGCTCGTGCCTAATTAAAAAAAAATTCAATTATTAATCAATTTTTAAATAATATTCTCCTTTTTTTAAAAAATAAATAAATAAAACAAATAATTACCTTTTCTTGTACCCTTGGTTTAGCATTAAAAGCAATTCCTAAACCAGATTTTGCCAACATTAATAAATCATTTGCACCATCACCAATAGCAATTACTTGTTCTAAAGTAACATTTTCAGCTTGAGCAATAACTTCAAGTAGTTCAGCTTTACGTTCAGCATCAACTATAGGACCAATTGTTTCACCTGTAAGAGTTAATCCATCTGATGAAACTTTAAGCTAGATTTAAAAAAAAAGAAAATGTAAATAGAGTAAAAAAAATTAAAATACATTATATTAAAAAAATAAATTCAAATGTTAACTTACTTGATTTGCAAAAGCATAATCTAATCCAAGTTCATTTTTAACATATTTTGCTAAAGGAATAAATCCACCTATATAAAAATTTTGAGATATTAATAATTACAATTGTTTTCTTTGATATTTACCTTAAAAAATTTATAATTTACCTGAGATAACTGCCAGTTTAAAACCAATTTTCTTTAATGCTTTACAAAGAAAACGAGCACCTTCAGTAAAAGTTAAACTCTCTTGAACAGTATTTAAAACTTTCACAGGTGTTCCTTTAAGAAGAGAAACTCGACGTTTAAGAGATTCTTTAAAATCAATTTCACCATTCATAGCTAATTCAGTAATAGCAGCAACTTCATTAACAACACCAGCATGTCTAGCAATTTCATCAATAACTTCTTGTTGAATAAGAGTAGAATCCATATCAAACACAACTAATCTCTTATGTCTTCTAAAAACATCATAAGGTTGTATAGCAACATCTGTACCATGAGAAGTACTAAGAATGAATAATTCTTGTCTTAATTGTTCAAAATTTGTTGTAAATGGTACAGATAATTTATAATCAGCACAAGATAACTTTCCTTCATTTAATCTTTGCATTTTTTCTACAGAAATTTTTTCTTTTAATAAAAATTTTGTCCAATCATTTAAAAATTGTGGAGTTAAACCCTTTTGATTTAATACAGTAGCAGTATATTTAATACGATTTTCATATGGGGCATCTTCAATAGATGATGTAAAATCATTTTGATTATCATCATGAATATCAAAAGATAAAGTACCATCCCATTTTCTTGATGCTTCAGCTAAATCTCTGAATAAATCTATGTTATCAGAGCTTAATGTAATTAACACACCAAAAGTAACATTGTGATATAATCTAGATAACATAAAATCTCCAACTTCACAATCATGTTTTGCCATACATTCAAATATAGATCCTATAATATCAGTTCCATGAGGTCCAGTAAGTGAAACAATAACTTTTTGGTGAGGTAATAAATCTGATGGTGGAAACCAATTTCCTTCTGCAGCTGATGAAATGTATTGGGAAGTTTTTGATAATAAAAGATTTGGTAAAATTGTCATACCTAATGGAGAAGACAATGAAGTTTTTGATGCGGTAGTTACATTAGGAAAGATGTTTTGCACAATTTTTTCCATTAAAGATTTTTTTAAAGTCAAAAGTGATTCAGATTTTGTTAGGGGAAGTGAGACAATTCTATATAGATAAGCTTCTCCAATATTTAATCCAGAATGTTTATCATGTTTTTTTAAAATTTTAACTAAACCTGTATAACTCAAAAAAACAAATTTTTCTAATTTAATAATAGATTCTAAAATTTTACTTGCTTCCGAATCTTTTATATGTTGTTGTTCACCTTTCTTTACAAGTGAATTCGATTCTTTAACAAAAAAATCAGACACCTTTTGTATTTCATTATCTAATTTTTCCAAGAATTCCGTAGTTTTAAATTGTAAAGTTGATAACCTTTTTGAAACTAATTGAATAAAATGTAATTCTTTTGAGTCTGTACGTGGTTTCCATATCGTTTGACTTAAATCCAAGTTTAACGTATTTGGGGTTATATTAGCTTTGATATATAATTTTAATGATCTATAATCTATGCAATGTTCTCTCCATTCTACAGGAAATATTTCTATACGTTCTCGTAAATATTTTCCAAATTTCATGATGATAATTGAAAATTGAAAGGAAAAGAACATAAAAAAAAAAATCGAGTGGAATTCAAAAAAATATCGTTATTGCTGGCTGATCGTTCATTTTTAATTGGAAATAAAAATTTTTTTTAACAAGAAAATGCGCCAATCACAATAATTCGGTAGAAATTTTTTTTCAATGCTAGCCTTATTAATAGAAATTCCCGTTTAAATGTTGTAATATTTAGAAATTAATTTGTCACTTATTTTTCACAAATAACATAATAAATCAAATTGAAAAACTTTTTCCCCGATTAAAAAAAATAGTGCATTAAAAAATTTAAATGTTTTTATTTCTCCACAATCCGAAAGTTATGGCAGAAAATTCTTATTCCATGTAAGCAGAAGGGAAAAATCAATATATAGAGCTTGCAGACTATCATTACTCACCAAAGAAAAAACGAAGTAATCTGTAAATATAGGCATTGCTCTATCCAATTTTTTTTCACATTATGCTGTCATCTTATTTTAAGTTCGTACGTTTTTTGACCAATAAAACATCGGTATCAATTTAGAATTTCTGAAACAATTATATTTCGTTCAATCAAGTGAAAGACGAAGAAAATGCGACTAGATAGCTTTATTAAAAGTAGGGCATTTGCAGCTCATTATGGATGAAAATCATTTTCATATTAAACTGTACTACTTCATTTTATTATATTAGGAAATGAGGTTTATAGTAACCATTAGGTAAAAATCTTTTTCTAACATTTAATTATTTCGGTTTTAATACATTTTTGTTTAATAATCATTTTTCAATGACATTAACGTGAAAAAGTATGAGATGAATAAGATTTTAATTGCAATGCTGAAGATTTTCAATTGCAATAATGTGGAAAAAT